AAAAAAGATTATTTTTTTTTTAAAATCAAACTATTGTGACACCAGATCTAATTAGTGGCACTTGTCAGCGTATCCACTGTTAGCGTAACACACCGCTTTAAGGACACTGACTGCTATTCAATCTATAACAGTAAAAAAAGTTTTTTGTTTTTAAATCCAAGCTATTGTGACACAGGATCTAATTAGTAGCACTTGTCAGCGTATCCACTGTTAGCGTAACACACCCGCTTTAAGGACACTGACTGCTATTCAATCTATAACAGTGAAAAAAGATTATTTTTTTTTTAAATCCAAACTATTGTGACACCAGATCTAATTAGTGGCACTTGTCAGCGTATCCACTGTTAGCGTAACACACCAGCTTTAAGGACACTGACTGCTATTCAATCTATAACAGTAAAAAAGTTTTTTGTTTTTAAATCCAAGCTATTGTGACACAGGATCTAATTAGTGGCACTTGTCAGCGTATCCACTGTTAGCGTAACACACCCGCTTTAAGGACACTGACTGCTATTCAATCTATAACAGTGAAAAAAGTGTTTTGTTTTTTTAAATCCAAGCTTTGTGTCACCAGATCTAATTGGTGGCACTGGTCACCGTATCCACTGTTAGCGTAACACCCGCTTTAAGGACACTGACTGCTATTCAATCTATAACAGTGAAAAAGATTATTTTTTTTTTAAATCCAAACTATTGTGACACCAGATCTAATTAGTGGCACTTGTCAGCGTATCCACTGTTAGCGTAACACACCCGCTTTAAGGACACTGACTGCTATTCAATCTATAACAGTGAAAAAAGATTATTTTTTTTTTAAATCCAAACTATTGTGACACCAGATCTAATTAGTGGCACTTGTCAACGTATCCACTGTTAGCGTAACACACCCGCTTTAAGGACACTGACTGCTATTCAATCTATAACAGTAAAAAAAGTTTTTTGTTTTTAAATCAAGCTATTGTGACACCAGATGTAATTGGTGGCACTGACTGGGGAAATGGGCACAGTATGCACTGTGAGCCTGACACAGAAGCTGGCAGCAGTGGCAGACAACTGACTGCTATTCAATCTATAACAGTGAAAAAAGTTTTTGGTTTTTAAATCCAAGCTATTGTGACACCAGATGTATTTGGTGGCACTGACTGGGGAAATGGGCACAGTATGCACTGTGAGCCTGACGCAGAAGCTGGCAGCAGTGGCAGACAACTGACTGCTATTCAATCTATAACAGTGAAAAAAGTTTTTTGTTTTTAAATCCAAGCTATTGTGACACCAGATGTAATTGGTGGCACTGACTGGGGAAATGGGCACTGTGAGCATGACACAGAAGCTGGCAGCAGTGGCAGACAACTAAGTGCATTTACATTAGATAGAAAAAAAAAATCCAAAAAAAGCATACCCTTATCCCTAACCTAGCTATGCTTTTCCCTATCTTATGAACAGCAACTACACTTTCCCTCCTCTTACTAAGCATGCAGCTTGAGAATGAATCTAAAATGGATGCTGTCCAGTAGGTGGGAGGGTCTGCTAAGGAGGCTGTGCTGCTAATTGGCTGGAATGTGTCTGCTGACTGTGAGGTACAGGGTCAAAGTTTACTCAATGATGACGAATAGGGGGCGGGTCGAACCGCGCATATGTTCGCACGCCGTGGCGAACGCGAACATGCTATGTTCGCCAGGAACCGTTCGCCGGCGAACCGTTCGGTACATCACTATACATGAGTAATTAACTATTTTATATTACATCAAATTATAAGTCACAAGCCCTTCCTCCTCAATCTCTTATGTTGCATTTGACCTATAAGGACTTTTTGTAAATGTAAAAGAAGCTTGGGATAGGCATAAGGCTATCCTAACTATAAGATAAGACTAGGGACTAATGAAAGTATTTAGAAAATTGGGCAGACTAGATGGGCCGAATGGTTCTTATCTGCCGTCACATTCTATGTTTCTATGTTTACATTTATGTCCCTCCCACACAAAAAACATTCATTTAATAATAAAAAATGAACAATTTTAGGCAATATGGCAAGAATTTTACTAACATCGTGGACTGCAAAGTGGCAGTGGAAGACACAGATTCATGAATCGTTCTTTCTATTCTATTATCTCATTCTGACTCTCTGTTAACCTTCATGTTTGGCTATGTTCTGTAATTTCTAAGGGAACGTCCTGAAAATGCAAGAAATCCACCAACTTTATTGAGTTCCAATAGTTGTTATTGGTAATAAAATAACCTTACGCTTCAAAGATGTTGTATATTTAAAGAAACTACTATACGTACAATGGCTAAAGGATGGAATTCAACTGAATCCGATTTTCGTTGAGACCTATTTTTACATTTTTTCTTTCACAGTAAATTATTTTAACTGCATTAATAATCTCAAATGAAAAAGCTAATAACGCATATGTATTGTGAGTCGTGTTTAAAGAAGCTTGTTTAGACTTCCCAAGTGGTTTGTACAAAATAGTTTTAGTGAAAACCTAAAATATAACTAATCACTTTAGATTCATCTATTAAGTATATCAGATAGGTTCAAGGAATGTGATTTCTTGCATAGTAATCAGAGAAAGGTTAATTTCATTATACCTATAACCAGGGCCAATGGGATTTCTGTGAAAGAGTATGTGCAGGTTAATTGAGAATCAGTGTACAAAGCTCCGAAGGAGACCTCTTCTCAGAATATGATACTGTATGCCAAGGGTTCATATGTAAGCCAGCGCAAATCCATAACATATCAGTCTGCTGGACTTTAGGTTGCATGTTTTTTTCAATTTGCTATTTGCTTTTGAATTAGTTATTATTTGTCTGGAGTGCCAGTGATCTATATGACAGCACTGCAGCAAGAAATAGTTTAGCCGTGTGAAATGAAGATGGTATCAGCTGGCATTTATTATTATTATTATTATTTTTATTATTTTTATTATTATTATTATATTCAATCTTTTTATTTTTCATAAAAAGAAACATTCAAAACATAGTATTGTTTTTTTGTTTTTCAAATAGTAGATTTTTTTTTATTTTTTTTAAATTCCCATTGTCAATGGGAAAAATTTCTATTCAAGTTGAAAATCTTTTTTAGGAATTGTTTTATTTTTATTTTTTTGCTTTTATTAAAATAAAAAGAGAATTTTGCAATAATATTGTTTGAATCAGATACACATTTTCGACCTCAATGGCTGGCGAAAAAAGAATCATATAAAAGAGTACAATGCAATCTATTTCAACATTTTAATGCAATTCATCTGCATCTATCATGTAACTCTTCCAATAACCTTTCAGCACACAATACCCAGTTTAATTTGCTTTGAAAATAGGGTATTCTAACCTTACTCTTTCTATGTATGCTAAATGTGTCCAATATTTTATTATGGGTCATTATTTATTATAAAGTGCCAGCATAGTTTACAACCCTGTAAAACCGGAAAATGAACCATTCAACTGAATTCAACATGTTTCACTTACATAAACAAGACATACTGAGGTCCTACTCAAACAAGCTTACAGTGTAGCAGTGGTCCCCAACCCAGTCCTTATGGACCACCAACAGTCCAAGTTTTGTCAGTATCTCAATTTGAATAAAAAAGGGAAATACATAAATCCTGGACTGTTGGTGGTCCTTGAGGAATGGGTTTGGGGCCACTGGTACAGAGAACATGAGCTAAACTTATACAAACAGTAAAATACATGCTGTTGAAAGCAAAAATGTATTAACAACATAGTCTGTTAATGGTATATGACTTGAGAGGATGAGAAGGAGAAAAGTGGACATTAATTAAGACAAAAGGGTGATGTGGTAAGAGGAATACATTAAGTGGTTATTTGTTATGGATTCTTATAAAGTGTTTTATTAAGAATATCTTAAAATAATGAATGATAAGGAAGTCTATTGCCTGGGGAATGACCTTCCTTAGTAGTGTAATTTTAGAGAAGTACTGAAGGTTCACCTTGGTGGTGCAGGTACAATCATTAGAAAGGCACAGGTATTGGTACTAAAAGAGGGCTGGAAAAAGCTAGAAGATAACCATGAAAGAGCAGACTCATGAAGATGAAGGCTACAAATGATAAGCAGAATAAACTGGAGGACAAGTGTCATTGCTGTTTCCTTCATGTATTCCGTCATGTTTCACGTGAACTAGAAAGCAGTCGAGGGTGTTGAATGCAAGGAAAATGTTCAATCTAGTTCATACAAACCATATGTAGAGCTTAGAGGAGAAAGGTGGTAGGAAGATGGAACAATACTTGGCCGGGGAATCTGTAAGAAATGTAGGTTTTCTAAAGATGGAAATTACTGTAGTATGTTCAATTAGGGTGGAACATATTCCAGTAGAAATTGGATAAATTGACTATTTTGAGGAGGATCAAAATAGGACAAAGATCAACGAAACAGAATATTATAGAGGAGCAAGACAGGAGAACTGTAGAAATCTCCTCCTTGGTAGTTGCTGTAAAAGAGCTTCAGGTATGAGGAAAGCTATGGTGCAATAAAGTTGAGCTTAGTAGTCGGGGGAAGCTGAGATTTCATACCTTATAGCAATCTTTTCAGTAGAGTAGGATGCAAAGTCAGAATTTCTAAAGCATGTTGGAGCAGAGTGATAATATGATATATTAAGCAACAATATTTATGCAAAATTGTTATTTATAGTCTAGTTACGTATTTCGGTTTTCTAATCATTATTTTTTTAAATTAAAAGAATTTGTCAACAAATTAAATATCTCCCTTCCAATCTAGAATTATTGATGCCCCCCCCCCCCCAAAGAAATGTACATTGGAATTTATAGCCAACTTAAAAATAAATTTCATAATCCAAGCAAAGCATATATTTGTGACATACTAAGACTATGGTAGACAAATTGAATATGCCTACACTGTGCATACACCAGGATTGTATTCATAATTGCAAACATACCTCTGTTAGAATTGCAAACATGTTTTTCTTCTTATCGCAATGTTCCTTTATTATACATGACCCTATACATTACGGCCCTCGCCGTATTTTGTTAAATTTTAAATTCTCTATTAGGCTATACCTGAAAGAGAATAACATTAGTTATAGCTTAGAAAATGTTTTTGCCACTTTTATCTTGGAAGGAATTTTTGGCATTTAATTCTGCTTCATCATATTAATTATTATCTATGCACGATATGCACTAACATTTGAAATCATGATTAAATGGCACTCCAAGCACCACAACTGATGCAGCTTATTGCAGTGGTTATGGTACATGGTGGAAACGAGTGAACCCACCATGTTTGTTTGTTTAACGGTAACCTGGGTGAAGAGTCAACCTAGCTGTACCGTAAGTGATACAACAATTTAACTGGGATGAATCTTGCTATGTTTTAATGATCTTTGCACAAGGTGAGCATGATATATATGCGCTTAATAGAACTGTTTCCCATTTAGACATAAACCACATTTTCCTGGCATTGCAGGTCCCCTCTCCCTCCCACCTCCCATCCACGGTTGCTGAAGGGGTGAAAACCCCTTCAGTGACTTACCTGAGACCCCCGCCGCTCCTCCCCTTCATCACGTCAGCCGGCGGGGGAGACTTATCCCGCCCGCCGGCTGAGGAGACCTAATGCGCATGAGCGGCAATGGCACGCATTCGCATTAGAGCTCTCCATAGGATAGCATTGAAAATGCGT